GACTCATGTAGAAAACCCCCAAGAGTTAAGACACATGAGCATGAAAGGTCGCATAGTGAGGATAGATCGAGGCGACCCAACAGATCCGGAGTTGGGCAAAATCAATCACCCAGATATTACAGCAGGTGTAGAGGTTGTGGATATTGTTTGTCCTGGCGCCATGAATCAGATCGTTGCCCAGATCAAGGTAGGAAACAGGACAATGATAGGTACTCAAATCGTGACAGGAGACCAGAACGTAAAGGAAATCTGAAATGTTACGTATGTAACGGTTCTCATCTGAAAAGGAATTGTCCAAGATTGTCACCGAGGCAGGGCAATACTGTGCAGGTAATGCGGGCTGGCAGCAACACAAGTAGAACCACAAGGGAAACAATTAAGGTAAGGGTGCGACCTGAGATCACATACCCTGCTTTGTCTGCTTTGCTGACAGTGGGGGGATTGCCACTGTATTTTGGTTACATTGGAAGGGTGAGGTGCACTGTGCTCCGAGACAGCGGGGCGAACATAATCGGGGTTGCAAGACACCTGATACCCGCTTCTGCATATACGGGAAAATATGCAAAGTGCCGCACATTCAGGGGAAACTTAGAAAAGTATCCTCTTGCTATTGTGAAGATTCGTTGTCCCTATTTTACAGGCGTTGCTGAGGTCTGTGTGGTAAATCGTAGCTAGCCGGATATCATTCTGGGTACAGTTCCTGGTGTGAGGTCCTGCACACAGGAGGAAATTGAATGCTGGAACCGTGAGAACGATGTCGTTGCTAATGCTGTCACAAGGGCACAACAGCAGAAAGATATAACATCAGAGGCAGCAAATAAATTAACAGAGGTAATTCACCCAAAGGCAGTGGTGTTCGAGAGTGGTGTGAACGAAGATGCATCGGTTACAGGTTCAGTATCACACTCTGCACAATCATTTGCTGAGGCGCAGCGTACAGATCACACGCTGGGTAAATGCTTCGAGAAAACAAGGACGCTGGGTTATAAGGTTACCAAAAATGGTAAATGTCAATTTTTCTTGAGGAATGGCTTGTTGATGCGTTATTTCGAATCGGCGCAACGTACTTACAAACAACTGGTGGTTCCCAAAACATTCAGGGAAGATGTGCTGAGGACAGCGCATGACACACCCTTCGCAGGTCATTTGGGTATGGGCAAAACACATAGGCGCATTTTATCCCAATTTTACTGGCCCGGCTGTTCCACAGACGTCAAGAAATACTGCAAATCATGTCGCGAATGCCAAATTATGGCACGAAAAGATTCGGCTCAGCGTGCACCAATTCAGGGGACTTATTTACCATTGGAACCTTTCGAGAAGGTGGCAATTGACATTGTGGGTCCGCTATCTGTAATGTCTAACAGAGGTTATAGGTACATTCTTACCTTTGTTGATCTTGCGACTCGTTGGCCTGAGGGGATTCCTTTAAAAAACATTACCACAGAGACGGTGGCGGATGCCCTGATGTCAATATTCTCTAGACTGGGTTTTCCGGACACTATTTTATCTGATCATGGTCCTCAGTTTATATCTGAGACGATGCAATCATTTGACAAGCTGTTGTCAATTGCACATGTATTTTCTGCCAGATTCAACCCACAGGCGAATGGAGTGGTGGAGAATTTTAATGGGCGTTTGAAGGCTATGTTGGCAAAGGTCACCGCTGAGTTTCCGACCGATTGGGATCGTTATTTACCGGCGGTATTGTTTGCCTACAGGGAAGTTCCCCAGGCAAGTACAGGATATTCACCATTTGAACTCGTGTATGGTGCGAATCCGAGAGGCCCAATGTCTATCATAAAGGATCTCTGGACAAATCGGGACAGAGAAGGCGTCTCCCAGACATACACACAGTTTGTAACTGAATTACGTCATAAAATTATCACCAGTTGCGAGATCGCCAGAGAAAGTCTGCAGCAGGTGGGATTTCGACAACGCGAGTATGTCAATAAGGGACGTAGGCTCGTTTCTCTTAAGCCTTGTGACGAGGTTCTTCTATTTCTTCAGGACGGATCGAATCGTTTGTTGTCATCGTGGCAAGGTCCATTCCGGGTGGTTCGGAAGATATCGTCAGTTGACTATTTGGTGGATGTGAGAGGACACCTGAAAGTATATCATATCAATATGCTCAAACTTTTTACACCGCGACCTAAACGTCTGGAGGAAATCATTGATATTGCAACGGAAGGAGGCGAGGCTCCGAACACAGATGAACCACTGGAGGCGAGTTTCTGTCATGTGGTCGACGAAACACCGGATAATCCTGGGGAGGAGTCCTACTTGCCTATTGTGCTACCTTCCTTAATACCTAAGGAATCCTGGAGGGATGTGGAAATCTCAAGCTCCATGCCTCAGGAATATGCGGGTCGTGTTAGAAAACTTCTTGCATCGTTTTCTACTATTTTCACGGACATTCCGGGAAGGACATCGCAGGCTGTTCACACAATCAAGCTAGTGGATGATCAACCTATCAAATTACGACCATACAATTTGCCATTACACTATGAGAGTTTAGTGGAAAAAGAATTGAGAGAAATGTTGCGTTTGGGTATTATTGAGCCATCTACCTCACCCTATTCTTTCCCTATGGTAATAGTAAGGAAGAAGGATGGAACCATCCGTATATGTATAGACTACCGCAAGCTTAATCGCATTACTGTGATAGATGCAGAGAATATGCCAAACATAGACGATATGTTCCATAGGTTGGCAACAGCAAGGTTCTTCACTAAACTAGATTTGTCAAAAGGGTATTGGCAGATCCCGCTGGCGGAGGAGTCCAAACAATTCACGGCTTTTCAGTCCCCTCTAGGTTTATTACAGTTTAAATATATGAGTTTCGGTCTGACCAATGGTCCGGCCACCTTCACTCGTCTAGTTAGGAAACTGGCTGTCGGTCGTTCTGACTTGATTTATTTTTTGGATGACCTTCTACTATTCCATGACAATTTGAATGACCATCTTGCTTCTTTAAAATCTCTTCTTGACAAAATCAGAGAGTTTGGGTTAACGATTCGTCCTTCTAAGGTACAAGTAGCCTTTCAAAAGCTTACTTTTTTGGGCCATGTAGTTGGTGACGGTATTCTTCAACCGGAAGACCACAATGTGGCGAAAATTCTGAACATTCCAACGCCAAAAACTAAGAAAGATGTTAGAGCGCTGCTAGGTCTGTGCAATTTCTATTCGAAATTCATTCCTCATTATTCGTCGGTTACGTCTGTCTTGTCGGAACTGACACAGAAGACGATGCCTCGTTTGGTATACTGGGACCAGGCGTGTACTAAGGCACTGGACCACATACAAAAGGCATTTAAACAGCATCCATTTTTAAGACTACCGAATCTATCAATGGATTTCTATTTGTCCACAGATGCGTCGAACACGGGGATAGCCGCAGTACTGAGCCAGAGATATGATGGGCAGTTACTACCTTGCCTGTTTGCGAGCAGGAAGCTGACACCAACCGAGACACGTTATAGTGTGTCAGAGAGGGAGGCCCTCGGCGTGTACTGGTCCATTTCCAGATTCAGCAAATATTTGATGGGCCAGTATTTTTATATTCTAACCGACCATCAGGCTCTAACTGCAATGAATACGAGTTCCGTGGCCAATGCTCGTATATTACGTTGGGCCATAGCATTACAATCGTTTAATTATACGGTGGTCTACTAAAGTGGACGAGAGAACATTCTGGCTGATTACCTGTCAAGATGTCCTGGTGTTTAAAATTAATGCATTGATTTGTTTAATTTGTTTAGAGCTGACATGACCAGTGTACAATGTGATTTAGGAGCTATGCATTTATGTGATTGATAATATTATTTAGGTTATATTGCTGTTGTTGGTAGTTCATAGTTATTTCAATAATTGTTATTAGTGTGGATACACATTCATCGCTATTGGTTGCATAATCGTTGTGAGTTGACTGGACGAAGACGTTAGGATTTTGGATCTTTGGATTGTTTCAACAGATGTATTACAATGATCATTAAACTGGAACCCCGGTTCCCAGTTTCTCAGAGAGGGGGGGATAAGCTGTTGTGTGCAATCCGAAGATCCACACTACGGACAACCGATAATGAACATAGGGTATGACGAGAGACACGACGTCACTTGCCGACAGGATTTTATTCCAGACAGATGACGGTTGCATGAAAGGTGTTGATGGCCGAGGTTGGAAACCAGTCTTAGATGGATCCGTAGTTGATGCCGCTGTTTGCGGGGAGCTGAGGCTCATTGCTCCGGATTGGAGGAACCGTATAGAGGACAGTCACAAGAAATGTGTTGATGGCAGATGTTGGAAACCAGTCTTAGATGGATCCGTAGTTGATGCCGCCGTTTGCGGGGAGCTGAGGCTCATTGCTCCGGATTGGAGGATCTGTCGTTTAATTTAGTGACTGTACTACATACCTTTCATTGACACAATTTATATCTGCGAGGAATTGCTTAATAAAATTCTTGTATTTGCCTGCCAAGCCAACGATGTGTTTCTGGAATGTAGCGGTTTTCAAGGGTTGACTTCGTTACGGCGTTTTTCTGCCAGTCGTTGGTTAGTTGACAGTTGTACCCCTAGAATAATCGTTTATTTGGTAGCCCGTACAGAAAGGAAAAAGAACCCGTACACTACCAATGTTAGGCTGGATTGACCTGTGAGGTAGTTTTATAAATAACAATCTGACAGGATGCAAATTTGAACCCAAGACCTCTGGACTAGTAGGTGAACATCTAGTTTTAGCAGTTTTTAAAAAAAATTGTAAACTATATCTAAAATCCAGTAAAACTGTATTAAAAGGCATGTATAACAGTGTACACATAAACATCTGTAAAATTATACGTAAAATTATCTTTAAAACTGAAAACTAAACATCTGTAAAACTGTACATAAAAATTGTTGTTTTTTAAATACATAAAAACAAGTAAGATATTGGTTTTTTTTTTTTACCATGTGTACAATTTTACCCAAATATAATCACCAAGGGATACTTCATACTACATACCTTTGTTGCTGAACCAGACCTCAGTGCAGAGAGTTTCTGGATAGACTGTGACAATGACTGGTTCTGCTCCTCCAGGAGCCTAATCCTGATTGTGTTGGCCTTCACTTGGTTCTGCATGTCCACAGCCACATCGCCAGTACCTGGTTGTCAATAAAGTCACAATTATTTCAATGCCATTCTTACTCAAATACCTACGCAATCACTCCACTTCTACCTTGGGGTGCTGAGGTTTGTCAGAGACCACCAGATTTCTCTGTCAACAGTTTTCTTTCTGGCTTTGTTCCATTCCAGTCCTCTGTCAGTTAGGGACTGTCGGATATTGTCTTCCCAGCGGACCCTGGGTCGCCCTGGAGGTCTGGTTCCCTGGTTCTTAGCCTTCAATGCCTGCCATTGTGGCCAATTTTCTCCCATTCTGCATACATGTCCAAACCACCGTAACTGTGACTGATGCACTCAAGTTTGTAAGGCCTTGGTTTCAAGATCCTTACATATTGTCTGATCTCAAACTTTGTCCCTTCTTGTCACTTGGACCATCTTTCTCAGATATCTCATTTCTGAGGCTAGAAGCTGGATCTGTGAACTGTTGTCATTGCACGTAAGCAGAGCAGTGAATAGCCATTTTCATCCTCTTGCCAATTTCTCTTTTGCTAAGCAACCCTCGGTTTATGGTAAAGCCATTCACCAGCTGAAACTCATGTTTAACCACTATCCCTCATGTCAGTTCTGGGGCCCTCTCCATGTTGTGAAAAGGCGACTAATTAGAAGTCTGCTGAAATCGTAAGTGTTGAGAAGAAAAGTCCACATATTGCAGCTTGGCTGTAATCTACAACAGAACGTGCCTACCCTATTTATGGGTTAAGGCATAAGAAGAAATAGAAGAACGAACAAACTTTATTTTCAAAGGGTTTCTAACTGATAATGTAGATCTGTCTTATAATCAGTCCTTTCAAACACTTATCTCTCACACAGCAGTTGTGTATAGAAGAAGAAAGAGAAGATGAAGAGCTATAATCAAGAGTCACTTGTCGTATGTCGAGACTTTACAATTTACTGTTTACATGACGCATGTAAATAATTGTTTTCCACAGCTGATGTAAAGCAGATGATGTGAAATAGATGATGTAAACAGCTGATGTAAAGCAGATGATGTGAAATAGATGATGTAAACAGCTGATGTAAAGCAGATGATGTGAAATAGATGATGTAAACAGCTGATGTAAAGCAGATGATGTGAAATAGATGATTTAAACAGCTGATGTAAAGCAGATGATGTGAAATAGATGATGTAAACAGCTGATGTAAACCAAGATGTACAGCTCTCACCAAGCAGGTCAGGATTGACAGGTCCATTGAGGTCAGGATATTCCACTATCATTCTCTCCCTTTCTTTGGCTTCTTTTAACTCTGCCTCAAAAGATTGGATAACTTTCTCAGTTTCCTGCATTGACTTCTGCATTTTCAACTTTTCTAGCTCCAGATTTTTTATTACCACCTGTAAAATAAGTACAAATAACAAAATTATACGACTAGGATAAGTGTGTTATTGCTGATTTGTAACTCATTTTTTTTTAAAGTTAAGTTGATCTTCGTAGACTGTTAAAGGTGGTGGTGCTTTGGTAGGAAATAAATGTGTCATGTTCTGCCAGCATTCTCGAAGGGGTAGCTTAGGTTATAATTGTGACTAGGTTATGTGCACCATATAAAACAGCTTAGCACTGCACACAACCAAGAGCCCTGAAAAGCACTCTTGCAGTGTTGATTCGATCAGAGACAGACCCAAATACTGTCCTGACCGGCGAAGAAGTCGTCTACAGGCGAGCCAATGGGCAGCCTTGTCGCCGAAGACTTGTTTTATAAGTTTAAACCTCTGGGTGTATATGGTTGCATGATACTTCCTTCAGCATTTACAAGCTCATGAGTCTTTTCCTTTTGAAAGTTACCACATTGGACCTGACCAACATTTTTCTTCTTCCTTCATGTTCACCGGCTGTAAACTCCAGCAGAAAGTTCTATTTGTCAGCCACATTTGCACTTTAGTCTTTTTCCAGAATTTAAGTGTTGTGTGCACAGCTGTTTCACAGATATGGCTTATCTATATGCAGACTGTTGGTTTCTTGCCTCGCAGGCAGATGTACTCTGACATTGAAACATCTAATTAGTTGACTTGTACGACAAGCTTGTTGGGGAGGCAGTAGGTCTATTCTTGTTGTCTCTATAATGAAAGCCTGACCAACCAAGCAGGTCAGAATCCATTACTGAGGAAGTGTTATGAGTAGGGTTACTTCATAGCACTCCAGACATGTCCATGGGTGCTCAGATTCCCCCTTCAACATATACATCATTGTCCAGCAGTTGATAGTGCCAGTCCTATATTGGTTAACAAGACCTCTTATAGTCTGTTGTGCCGTGCTGATCTCAACCCCCAATTCTTGCATTTTTAGCAGTGATGTGACATGTTGCTCCTAAAATCCTCTTATCATCCTATCTCTCTAAGGGGGCATTAACAATGTCCGTGCGATCCGCAGGCTGGCCATATGCAACTAAGACATACATTTAATCCTCATCGCCCCCAGAGACACACAAGGCAGAGACAAACTGACGCCACTCAATTGGATCCTGAGTTATGCTCTCTATCTCCAGTTTTATCCTTTGCGTAGCCTTGAGTTCAGCCTCAAAGGTTAGCCTCCATTTCGCAGGCTTTCCCCCAGTCCTTCATTACTGACAGTTATCTTGTCACCTACATCTATGACATCTGGATCTTCATGATGATTTTTTATATTTATGTTTGTCTCTGTTTCTGTATCTGTTATTTTTTTACAGTGTGGGGGTTGCTGGCCCCAGGTCCAACCCCTCTTAGTTGCCTCCTATGACATGCTGAGAGGATGCAGTGGTCCTTTTCTTTATGACACCGGGCACCACACGGTGAGCAACTAAGGCAGAACTGGTTAATTTATCAGCTCTTTCGCTGCCAACAACATAAAGATGAAGATAACTGCATGCACAGGGGACTTTCGCAATGAATCAACCCACTGTATGTTTACGGAGCCGGCCTCTACCTGACAAATCATGATCATAGAATCACAGAGCCTGCGCCCAGTGCACTCAGAATGGATAAGACAAGACTGCCCCAATCAAGCCCTCATCTGGACACCAGAAGGGACAAGAAAATGAGGAAGATTAAGAGAGACTCTGCGTAAAACCATCATCAGAGAAGGCTCAGCCATGGGCCTAATGAATATCCAAGACCTAAAACTGGTGGCAAGACCTAAAATAGGTGGCAATGAACCACTAGACATGGAGAGCTATGACCTCTGCCCTATAGACCACACAAGGTTCAATAGAACTGACTAAGTAATCAATCAGTTTTAGGCTGAGCTGACCTGGAAGCCAAGGTCTAACTCATTCTTAAGATAGACACTTTAACCTCCCATATGGGTTTCATGGCTCCAATGTTGGGGGGGGGGGGGGGGGGGGGGGGGGGGGGGGGGGGGGGAGGGGAGGGAAGAACAGACCCAATGATCCCTAACAAGCATATCTTAAGATTGACTAATCAGAGATGGTTCTTTTGAAGCTGGAGTGAATCTGCCTGTGAGGTGAGCAACCAATAGTCTGCACACAGATAAGCAAAATCTGTAATGATCTAGATGTGCACGCAAAACTCACATTCTGGAACAAGACTAATGTACAATAGTGGATGAATTACCAGACCTTTCCACCAGAGTTAACAAGTGGTGGATGCGAAGAAGAAGACACTCTGACATCTGAGCTAAAAAAGTGAAATAGCAGATAATGACAAAGAAGAATGAAAATTAGAAGGTGGAAAAAAAAATAGGCATAAGATTGGTAAAAAGAGGAGGTGGGGAAAGAGCAACAGAATGCCTATCAGTTTGAAGAAAACTTATGACAGATGCAGAAGAAGGAAGAGGAGATAAAGAAAAAAAAAGATTAACTAATCATTTTACCTAATTTTATATAATCATATCTAAGCCCTTTGATAAATTACATTATATGTCTATTCTCTTTGTAAGATTAAAGGTTTTAAAAATACAAATGAGTTCTCAATTCTCTTGTAATAAATATCAATACAAATAAAAACCTCATTTTCTTTCACTTTGGACCGCAGTTCTTTGGCCTCAACTTTCAGCTCACACAAGGCATCCTGTAATGAAATCTTTTCCTCCTCCAAGGTAGCAACTTGATGCGACAGATCTTCATTCTCTGTACTTAACAAATTCATCCTGGCAAGAAGAGCATCTTGTTTGGCTTGCAGAGACTAAAAAGCACAAAGATGGCTGGTTATTATTTGTATGTGTGAAGTCTGAATATTATTCTCATTTATGAACAGAAATTTCAAATTAAACATTAATTTCTAGAACCCACTCCATAAAAAAACCCATTTCCTTGGTTCCTGAGCAAATAAAAAATTTTAAAATGTAACATAAATATATGTGGAAAAAATCTACTATTACATTTTTGTTATTAGTTTTAATAAAATTAATCTTTCGTGTGGCAACATATGGTTGTGATTCATAGACAATTTTGCAGTCAGTCACTTACAACAAAAATCTCAGCTATTAACCGTAACTGTTACAGAAAGGATCCATTTGTAAACACATGGAGTTCTCAGATTTAAATTTAAATAATTTCCTACTGTCATTAACTTCTTCCAGGGAATTATTCTTAGTTATGCTGGCTGTGCCCTGTATACATAATTAATTTCTGAAACTACCTCTGTTCTGCTTCCAAACTCTTAACTATTTTATCCATTCACATTTCAAAATTATCTTTCATACAGCAGAATTATTTCTCTATATCATTTCTGTAACTCTTTTTTCCTGACATTTCATCTGGGTAAAGATTCGACATCACAGCATAGATGACAAGGCTCCGGTTAAAATGGACGCTAGACAGCGGCGCCGTTCGGAACAGAGGCAAATTTTTTGCTTCTGCCGGACGGTGGCCGATGCATTTTTGCTCCATTTGTAGACTGGATATAGTTTCGTCGCCCAGCTTCTGAGTTGAATGCATGGCGTGACCCTGTGAGCTGCGGATTGCATTTGGAATGTTTTTTTTCGACTGTGACCAACGTGGTGGTGTGAATTGTAGATTCAGAAAATGGCGCGATGCCTGTCGTTCAATGCTTGCGGGACCCGTAGAAAAATTGATCACGCGGACAACTGCTGATCTGTTGACGACAAGTTCTGCTATCATCAATGATGAACTGCATTTCTAATGTTGGACTGTTTGTGTTAGCACTTCGGATGGCTACCATATGCTTTAATGCGAGTGTATGCTAGATATGCTGAGACAGCAGTCTGTCAATCAATCTTTCCACAAGGGACTGTGATAGACATTCTGAGTGTTTTTCGCTGGCACAGGAGCGGAGCAAAGATGGGGCAACCCGTTTGCTATGAAGCTGAAACTAAGACTACCAGACCAGACTACCAGATGACAAGCCCATATTAGTTCCATCTCCCTCCTCAACAGCCAGCCCAGTCCCTCTAATCTGTTGTCATCTGATTAACTATTCGTCTGACCTTTCCCATAAGTCTTAAGTGGCACCCAGTGCTCACAGACACTTCCCACTGCATTCATTCTTTCCAGGTACAGTTTTTCAAAATATTTTCCATTCTACTTTTTACCTCGTCCAACAGGCAAGAGATCACCTCTTTTTCTGACATGTAATGAAAAAACTTATTACATAAGATGCTTTTTATCTTCTGAAGTGCAGCTTTTGCTTGACCTTTTCCACTCTAAATCTCTCTCACACCTTCTATGTGATGTTATGTTTACCCAAAATATTTGAATTTACTGAACTAGTTAAGAATGTTTCAGTTTATCAATTATATGATATTTTGGTATTATGTTGTCCTTGTTATGACCACAGCTTCCATTTTTTTATGTTGCATTTTGGAATTCTGTATTACCCCAGTGTCTTTATAGCTGGTCTTGTACAATTTTGTTAATATTTAACAATATCAATATCATTTTCAAGAATAAAAGAATTAATTCTAATTTCTTTCCCCCCAAAAAAACTATCTGGCAGTTAAAAAGATTAGTTTAAAAAAAAAGTTGTATCACTGTGGTTTTATCATTGTTTTCTTCTAAACAAAAGTACTTTTAACATATGGTTGTTGCTCTGAAATAATCTATATACACACACCTCATTGTGCTTGCTAGCACTCCGGCTTTTTCCTTGTTCCCTGGCCAGCGTTTTAGAATGGCTATCCAAAGTTGCTGTCACATCTGCCAGCTTGGACTTCAAATCTGCTATTTCTTTAGCTGATGCTACTGCTCTCTCTTCATCTTGCCTCTTCTCTTCCAGTTCATGCTCCATTGTTTTATAGTTAGTCTCTGCACACAGAAAGCATGAATACAGAAGCAGAATAACTTGACAGGAAAAAACTAATTTTTTAACACTGAGACATAATTGACATATCTAAATAATTATATATTTTAACCTTGTCACCGCAAAAAGACAAAATCTGGTTAAATCAACCATGACAAGGTCCCCTAAATGCCAATTTATCATCCTGTCTGCAGTAACCTGTTCTTGAAAAGTATAGTTAAATGTCAATGATTTATGTGCACCAGTACAGTGTTAAGGAGACTGCTGGTATTATTTTATTACCTAAAAAGAATATTTAGGAGGTCTCCTTGTGAACTCATTAGCTTGTTTTTTAAAGCCAGGTTGACGTGAAATGTTCCTGTAATTCTCAGTGATGGAGGTTACAGGGTCACAGTGTAAGTCACTCAATACATGTTTGTTTTAAGCCCAGAGGAGTGTATTTCATGTGTATGTGTCTGTGGGGTGTGTGCATGTGTGCGTATGTGTGTGTGTGTCTGTCTCCATGTGTGTGTATGTATCCATGTGTGTCTGTCTGTGTGTGCATGTGTGTGTGACATGGATGTATGTATGTATGTATGCATGCATGTATGTATGAGTGTATGTTTGTTTGTATGTGTGTGTGTGTATGAGTGTATGTGTGTGTCTGCGTGAACGTATGTATGTATGTATGTGTGAGTAAGTGAATGAGTGAGTGGGTGGGTGTGTTTATGTTGGTGTGTGTGTGTGCGCACGAGTTTGCGCATGCATTTTACAATTCATGCTTATGTGTTTTTTCTTGATATTTATAAAATGCATATTATTACATGAACATAACATGCTTTATTATTAAAATACAAATGCTGTGTAAACAGTGGGCATCTGGAAGGGCCGAATGTAAGATGGGGATGCATGCCCAATTTGTGACCCTTTAAAAACAAGTTTGTTCCATTCGCAACATTTTTTAATCAGCCTCATCTAAATCTCTATAAACGTACATAAATATCTCGACCAATGATCAATAAACCCAGCCTCATCTAAATGTATATGAACATACGCAGATATATCAAACAATGATTTATATATTTTTTCACCCAAAATTGGGCCCCAAAAACCCTAGGAGAAGTCTCACCTAAATCCTTGAGTATTTCTCTGTGTTTCTCCAACTCCAGCTTCACTTGAATGATTTCCGCCTCCAAACTTTCCTTGTTTTTCTTCAGTTCACGCTTCTGGCGTTCTTCTTCTTCAATCAGCTCTTTGTAGTGCTGCTCCTGCTCCTTCAGCTTGCCCTGATAATGTACAGAATTACAAAAAATGTAAATGTCTTCTTTCCTCATCTCAAGGCTTTGTAGCAGACAGCAATCTGCTCAGAATTTGTCACACCAATACTAATAACCAAAAAGGGAGAAGGATAAGACTGCTAATGCTGCTTTTGAAGTTAAAGGTTAAAGTTAAAAGTTAAAGTTGAAGGTTAAAGTTGAAGGTTGTAGTTAAAGGTTAAAGTTAAAGGTTAAAGTCGAGAGGATCAACTTCAGTGGACTAAGTTTGATCCCCTATGGCTCGGCCTCTCCCCACAGAATGGCTAGCTACCTCTGCAGAGCTTCGCACAAAACATGAACTCTGTAGCTATGGCAATGATCGCCAGGAATCTCCATTTAAAAACTGCACTCACGAATTGAAGACGCAGCTGTGAATCAAACCCCTGACCTTCACAGCTCGAGGCAAACAGCTTTAACCCTTGCTGCTGCTGCTTCTTCTTCTCCTCCTCCTCTTCCTCATGCCTGGTCTGGAGCAAACATCAGCAGAAACAAGTATAATCCTCTCTGTTATTTGATAATGTCATGAAGATAGTTTTGATTATTGTATGTTTTTTCTAGCTGTTTAAACTTTCCACACACATCACTTGAGAATGCCTCAGTGATGTGATCCTACAAACAAACAAATACAGACTAATACAAACTACAGGAGATTCATGAGGTGTGGACAGGTATGATAGGCTAGGCCAGTCAGCATAGCCTTTAATAATGAGGATATATTCTTGTCTTCCTATCTTTTTTTTTTCCTAGCATTTTTCTACATAAAGTTTATTTCTCTACACCATCTTTTCTTCTGATATTCATGGATTAGAATGATCTAATCACAGTCAAAACAACCGCCTGTGTATATGGTTAAGGAGAAGTGGACAGAGAATTACCAAACAGTCACTGAAATGGGAAACAAATGGTTTGTGGAGACACAAATATCAAAATTAAACTCTGAAGATGAATGCTGATCAGAGAGAGGTCGAAGGTGCCGGATCGGATGCATCCATAATATGGAAACAATTGCAGAGGATAAAACAAAGTGAAAGAATAAACTCAGAACACTATGTGACGTATTACAGCATAATGGGATGATTATGACGATGACGATGATGATGATTCACAGTTACAGAGTAACATGATCAGCAATGTTAGCTGATAAGGCATTTTATTCCCCGTGTGGGTTCCAGGGCCCCATTGCAGGGGAAACAAGAATACATCTACTGCCACTCCAATTAGCATGTCCTACTAGTCGGCTAATTGGGAGCATCCTTCCAAGTAGGAGTGCATTTGCCTGCACATAAATAAGCCAGTAAAATGGAAGTACATGCAAAACTCAGGCCCTGGCACAAAGCTCCAGTCCAAATACACGAACAACTGGGACTTTCCACCAGAGCTTACAGCCAGTGAACAAAAAGGAAAGAAGAAGTAAGTGAAAAGTAAGTAAAGGACACTTCCACGCATTTAGGCGTACAGGGCATATAGGGCTAGACCTATATTTTTATAGACCAATCAGCACAAGATGGGTCATGTAGTCAACATCACGCCAGCCACCTTTACTTCCCGGGACTGCACCCGGTACCCACTAAAAGGCTGGGTCGACCTGGAAGCCAAGGTCATTTTTTAAAATAGTCTGGCTCCGCCAGGGAGCGAACCCACGACCTTCCGATCCATGGCGAGCGTCTAGCCGCTCCGCTCAGCCACAGGGACTCCCAAAGAAGAAGAAGACAAGGCATATCATATTGATGATGATGATGGTGGCGATGATAATTTATTCTTCCTCTGCATTCATAAATGTGTTGTGCTCGTTTTACGACATGGCTGCTACAGTTGCACCTTTTGGCCAACAAACTCAACTTCTGCAGGCATCTGTTGGCCGGATTAGCCTTCCCTGTGATAATGATTAGACATTCTAGACAGCAGTAGGAATAACTGTAGGAATAACTTCATACTGGTGACAACAAACAGATAACAGAAATGATCATCTGAATAACTAACCTCATACTGTTTGCGTAAATGTACTCTCGTATCAACTTCCTCCTTCATGTTCTTTTCAAAAGTCTGTGCCTTCTCTTCTGCAACTTTAGTTCTCTGCTCAAACACTTTCACGTCTGCTCTCAGCGGATCAATGGATGCCTGCAGGATTTCATTCTGTTTTCCTATCCGTACGATATCCTTGTTTTGCTCCACCATCCACCTACAAATATCATTGAAAGACAGCATGTCTACATGGCTCACTTCATTCCGGAACTTTCTTAACGAACAAGGTAAGCCCTGATCTGTACACACTTTGATAATTACTTCCCCTGATTCCCGTAACTTTCTCTGAATTACGTCACATGAATCACACGGCACAAAGGCTGTCTCAAATGTCTGACAAGACTTATTGTTAGTGTCTCGTGAAATGGAAGACAGTGAGCTCAGGCCAGCACTGGCAGTTTTTCCTGCTAGGGCAAGTCCAGCATTATTTGGTGGAACTAGTCCTCGGGTACCTGGCATGTCTGTTTGTGTAAATGATGGAGAACTCTTGGAATCTGAGGCAGTCAGATCACTTTCTTTGGTATCCTGTGCAGAATATTTACTCAGTTCTTCTTCAACTTCCTTTATCTTCATGCTTTTTACTTTATTCTGAAATAAGTAAAAATGAAAATTTAAGACATGTAAAAAATATGTATTTGTATGAGGGAGACACCGTAGAATAGCGGCTTAATGCTTATTGTGGGTTGGAAGGTCCTGGGTACAGATCCTCAATAAGTCTGACTTTTTTCAAAAAATGACCTTAGCGCCCAAGTTAAGCCAGCTTAAATAGGTAGCAGGTACAGTCCAGGGAAGTAAAGGTGGCTGGCATGATGTTCACTATATCACACATTGAGCGTCGAGTGGTCCATAAAATTTAGGTCTAGCCCTATATGCCTGAAAGCATGGAAAAGGGTCCGACACTATGACAATGTACTGTGATTTTCTCCACCCCTTGGAACTCCTCAGTTACTGCCTCAACCTCCAATCTCATGCTGAATGTGGTGTTAAGTGAATCGGAAGTAACAGTAAGCAAGTAAAATTAAAAGCAACTGACTAACATAGGATTGTGCCTGTGCAGCTTCTCCTTAAATAGAACCTGTCTTCTTCTTCTTCTCCTTCTTCTTCGATACTTCTGTCAGAAAACTTATATCAGGAGGCCGGTAGCCTTTATGAAAGCAATTGTTCAGTCCTTATCTCCATGTGTACCACACAGCTTTGTCTTCATTGTGGTTGGAACAGGCTAGATTGCCTCTCTGTTGTCAGCATACTGTTGACAGGTGTTGGAGCACATGCCCGGCGTTTTGTGGTGCCACGCTGCAGGGAAACGTCTCTGTGCTTTCTACACCGAAATCTTTGAACATATGTTGATGGTCTGTTTCACCCTGTCCTTAGTCTAAATGTAACAATGTCCCTGAGAGAGGGGATGAAACAAGTTTTGAGAAGAAAATTTGGAGTGTGTATCTGGCCACCCTTCTTGGATACTTATTCTTTTGGTGGGTTAGATCACTATTTGGGTGAACAATTGCTTGCAGAACTGAGATAGCATCAGTCAGAATGACAACTCTGCTTTATGTGCTGTGCTGTTGTCCATTCAGGAAAGAACATGCCACTAGAAGAACATCTGCCTCTGCTCTGTAACTGGAGGAATATGAAACCTGTTGGTATAGCCTATTCAGTTTTTAAACCATTTGAAGCCATTCTATGTATCTTCCTCCTCTTCCATCTCTTACTGCTTTCTTGGCTGAGCCATCTGTATACAAACTTTAATCCAACTTTGATGTGGATAAAGTCTGTTGATCTCTCCTTCTGTAGCAGACTTCATATCAGTGCTGCTCGCAGATGCCTTTGAGGAGAACCCTGTGACAATGATTCTGTTGCCAAGTTATCGGAAGCCAAGGAGGCATGAAGACCTGTCATATTTGTACCTTTCCACTTCTTCTTCTCCATATTCACCAGCTATAAACTCCAGAGGAAAGTTCTGGTTGTTTGTCCCCCTCTGGACTTTGGTCTTGCTCCAAAACTTTAGTTTTGTGTGTGCATCCTTTTTTTTTAATTACAAACCTGACTTGTCTATATGCAATGTGTGTCCTATCCCAAGGCAGTGTTGTCGTCACCTCTTGATTCACTGGAATTTGTTTTTTCTCTCTCCTAAAGCTAGTAAAGCTTTAACTGACAACACTGACATATAAGTGTAAATGTAAAACAAGGAAATCAAGGAAAAACATAACTAGTTACACTTAACCTCTGAAAGTATTTGTTGATACAATGTTTGAAGCTTTGACAGCTGTGCCCAGTAATCCCTGACAATCAGGCCAACAGATCCTCCAACTTTTGGTTCAGTATTAGCAGTCTGTGTGGTCATCTGCTGTCCAGCTGTCCAGTGAACTTTACAGAAGGCTGACATGGCTTGAACCATGAAAATTAGCCTGATTTTTACAAAAAAGCAAAGTTACGGTTAGTCGGTAATTTTTGCTGGTTCTTAGATAGATAGGCAGGTAAGTTGTTTTGTAAGCAGGTATGTAGGTATATTTGTTGGCTGGTAAGTAGGTAGGTAAGCAGGCAGGTAGCTAGGTAGGTATGTAAGCAAGCAGGCAGACCTTAGAAAGTGTAAACTACTCACAAATTTCTTGCAACAAAATGAGGCTGGTGAAGAGACCTTTCTTTTAATCTCTAACAAAGAACCTTCCACTCTGAGTTATATAGTTTAAACAAAACAAAAACAGTAGGGTGAGCAAGAACAATATTTAGAATTCCTTTGACAGTCAGGGAGTGGCAGCTAGACATTCACCTGCGGATCCAAAGGTCATGGGTGCAAAGCTCAACATTTTTCAATAATCTGTTTCTGCTTCTTCTTCTTCTTCGCATTCACTGGCTGTAAACTCCAGTAAAAAGCTCTGGTTGTTCGTCCACCTATGTTTCAGAGTGTTGCATGCACATACATCTGTTTTACAGATCTGGCATATTTGTGTGCAGACTGTTGGTTCCTTGTCTCACAGGCAGATGCACTCCAAGTGCAAAAGAAGGCCCCAGTCAGTCAACTCTTATGACATGCTTGTTGGGGAGACAGCATTCTTGTTTCCCCTACAATGGGAACCTGGAGACCATACAGGAAATTTTTCCCTTATGACTTTGGCTCACAGGTCAACTCAGACTAAAATGGGTAAGTCCTGGGAAGTAAAGACGTGATGTTGACAATACGACCCACCATGTACAGACTGGTTCTATAAAATACAGGTACAGTACTATATGCCCAATGTGCCTAAAGGCATGGCAAAGAATCAGTTTACTTGCACAGTCAAAAAGAGCAAAACAGATGTTTTTAAAATGGTAAGGGTCCAAAGACATCGCAAACATCAGAAGGAGACAACTATCACCTTTTGGGTATGTTATGTGAAGAAGGAAACTGGATAATGTTGTGACCACTGGAAAGATCTGTGTTAAAAAAGAGACAGAGGAAATCAACATGAGACAATCGTGACAGCCTTTTGTTAGGGCATGTAGTCGTGTCAGCACATGAACTGGTACAGGCTGTTGAATACTGCAGATTGTGCGAGGCATGATTGCTTATGTCAGTCATCAAGGCATCTGATGATGGCGCTGATGCAAAACTACACCTTCTTGTCTGTGAATAGGCACAATTCTTCTTCTTCTTCTTCTTCTTTTTTCATTCACTTGAAATAGATTATCTATAGCTTCAGTGTTGTCTCTAGTTTTAGAGACATAATAATCTTTGAAATGTTAGCCAATCTCTGACACAAGTCCAGTAAAAGGTCACACAACAGAGAGATGCCCCACAATTCTGGTTTATGTTCTCTGCCGCAGTGACACCATGTCTAGCAAGGACCCTGATGAAGAATATTTCAGTCAATAAAGATATGTTTTGGTTGTTTTTCAGCCTCTGCTAGCAAATTTGATTTGGCTAGTGAATGTTGTAGTGGATGTGTGGGTTAATATAAAGAGGCTGTGATTTTCTGTAGAAAACAACAGGAAATCCCATTTTGGCTAACGAAGATTCCGGCTATAGAAAGTGACTATGGAACAAATTATCTCTGTTGGCTGGGGTATCACTGTGTTTGCCTTCCTTGTCTTCACTTGATCCACAGTATTCGACACATCTGTCTTCAAATAAAACATCACAGTATTCGACACATCTGTCTGCAAATAAAACATCAATCTATATATCTTCTTTTACTTGCTCATGGGCTGTAAGCTTCAGCAGCAAGTCCACATTGTTCATCTATTTGGACTTTGGCTTTGTGCCAGGGATTGAGTTTTGCATGTACATCCATTTTACTGGCTTATTTGTGTGCAGTTGGTTGTTCCTTGTCGCTCAGGCAGACACACATTGACTTAGAAGGAAGTCCACAATTATTCTACTCCTCCGACATACTTCGCCCGTGTGTCACCGGGGCCCTCACGGGAAGCCAAGAATAGTGACACTGCACCCTACCAGGCATGTCGTAAGAATCGACTAAGGGTAGGGTTGGGCTTGAGGTTGGCAACCTCATCCTGTAAAAACCATAGCCACAAAAACCAACCAAACATGGATAAGTCAAAAAGAGAAGCAAATAAAATCCAGCCAACCAAGATGAGGGGAGGCTCTTCAAATAGAAGAAGTATGACACGGTGTGGAGAAAGCCGTAAGGAGTCCGGATCGTTGACGTACCTCCTCTCAGCTAGGAAAACCTCCAGAATTGGCACCTGGAATGTTAGAACTCTCTATGATATAGGGAGAACAATGGAAGTAGCAAAGGAAATGAAACATTATAGAATTAGTATTTTAGGGTTATGTGAAACTAGATGGACTGGGGCAGGGAAAAGTATTCTAAATTCAGGAGAAACTATTTTGTTCTCAGGACACACAGAGGAAAATTCGCCGCACAGTGAGGGAGTGGCCCTGATGCTATCAAAAGAAGCAGACAGGGCACTAATAGAATGGGAGGCTGTGAGTCCCAGAATAATAAGAGCATCTTTTAGAACAGTAAAACAGAAGGTGAACATGTTGGTAATACAGTGTTATGCACCAACAAATGATAAAGATGCATCTGTTAAGGAAGAATTTTACATGCAGCTTCAAAATATTATAAATAATGAAAGAAAGGGCAACTTAAAAATTTTGATGGGTGACTTGAATGCTAAGATGGGATCCGACAACACAGGTTATGAAGAAATTATGGGAAGACATGGTCTAGGAGTAATGAATGAAAATGGAGAATTGTTCACAAATTTGTGTGCAGGTAACCAGTATGTTATTGGTGGAAGTATTTTTCCCCATAAAAGAATACACAAGGCAACATGGGAATCACCAGACCATAAGACTAATCAAATTGACCACATACGTATTAACAAAAAGTTTAGATCATCCCTTTAAGATGTTAGGGCTTTCAGAGGTGCCGATGTATTTACTAACCATTTCCTGGTGGTAAGTAAAATCAAGTTGAAACTAAAAAGACATATAACATCTTATAATCATGGAAACCAATATAATGTAGGCTTTCTCAGAGATAAAGAATTTAAGGAACAGTTCTCAGTTACGGTCTCTAAGTACCAGGTGTTGCAGCAGTTAGCAGAAGATGTCAACACAGAAGTCTTCTGGGATCAGATCAAAGGAATCTGGAATGAATCTTGTGTAGAAGTTCTTGGCAAGAAAGAAAGGAAACATAAAGCATGGATAACACCAGAAACCATTAAACTGATTGAAGATAGGAAAAGTAAAAAGGCAGAATTAAACAATAGCAAAACTGGAGCTGCTAAAGCTAGAGCTCAGGAGAAATACACAGAAGCCAACAAGGAAGTTAGGAGGCATATAAGGGCAGATAAAGTGAAATATCTAAATGATCTAGCACAAGAAGCAGAGACAGCAGCAGCAAAAGGAAACCTCAGAGAACTTTACAGTAACACAAGAAAATTAGTAGGTAAATATAGTCAGCCAACTGGATCAATCAAAAATAGTCAAGGAAAGGTACTTACTAATAACACTAAAGATCAAATGGACAGATGGGTTGAATATTTTGAAATGCTTCTAAATAGACCAGGCCCAGAGGTTCCCCCAGATATCCAGCCTTTAGAAATGGAACTGGATATCAACTGTGAGATACCTTCCAAAGAGGAAATTAGAAAAGCTATAAATCTTCTCAAGGAAGAAAAGGCGACAGGCCCAGTTGGTATCCCAGCTGAAGCCATCAGGACCAACATAAACACATCAACAGAATTGCTACATAGATTATTCAGTAAAGTCTGGGAGACTGAAGAAATACCAGCAGACTGGAGAGAAGGATATCTTGTGAAACTGCCCAAAAAAGGTGATCTACAGGAGTGTGAAAACTATAGAGGAATTATGTTGCTGTCAGTTCCTGGAAAAATATTAGGTATAATAATTTTGGAAAGATTAAAAGATGCTTTTGATAAAATGCTAAGAGATGAGCAGGCAGGTTTTCGGTCAAACAGATCCTGTACTGATCAGATAGCCACATTACGTATTATAATAGAGCAAAGCATTGCACTGAACTCACCACTTTACATTGGATTTATAGACTATGAAAAAGCATTTGACAGCATTGATAGGGAATCTCTCTGGAAATTAATGGGGCACTATGGAATCCCACAGAAAATTATCAACTTAGTAAAGGCAACATATAAAGACATGAAATGTCGAGTTCTTCATGAGGGAAAGCTAACAGATGCATTTGAAATAAAAACAGGTGTGCGACAGGGATGTCTTTTGTCGCCTCTCTTATTTTTACTGGCTATAGACTGGACTATGAAAACAGTAACTGCTAACACCAAGAATGGTATTCAGCGGACCCCTACAAAACAGCTTGATGATCTGGACTTCGCTGATGATATTGCTCTTCTGTCCCATTCACGGAATCAGATGCAAGATAAATTAAATATACTTAATGCGAGATCAAAGCAGCTTGGTCTGAAAATCCATAAAGGAAAGACAAAGATCTTCTTCTTTTGTCAAAATCTGCTTGTGCCGCTAGGCGTCGCAGTCTATCAGATGATCGGCAACCGAGCCAGGGCTCGCTCAGTCGCTTCATATGCCGTGATGTTATGAAGTCTCAAGTTGTCCGTGACTCCTTCAATCCATCTTCTTCTTGGTCTTCCCCTGCCTCTTGTTGTTTCGATTTTCATGTTGTATGCTCTTGATGCTGGCATCGTTGGTTCCATTCTCATTAGGTGACCAAACCATTTCATTCTTTGCTTCTCAATAAATTTAACGATGGGTATGGTTCCAATAGTTCTTGTAATCACATCGTTTCTCACTCGATCTCTTCTGGTTTTATTCGCAGCCATTCTCAAACATCTCATTTCACAGGTGGTTAGTCTTCTCTCGTGTTCTTTTGTTAATGTCCAAGTCTGACATTGATAACCTAATGTCGGTATAAAGATTGTATTTATAATTTGTCTTTTTATCTCAGCTGGGACAGCAGGGTGTTTTAAAATTGGGGCAAGCTGGTATGCGACATTGTTGGATTGTTGGATTCTTGTCTCGATCTCTCTGTCTATTTTACCATTGGATGTAAAGATACTTCCCAGGTATTTAAATTCTTGCACTTGTTTTAGGCTGTGATCTAGACAAAGATAATGAGAATAAATCAGGCAAATAGTAATGTGGTTTCTCTTAATGGCACCCCACTCCAAGACGTGGAGTCGTACATCTATTTAGGCAGTAATGTAGATAAAGATGGAGGAACTGATTGAGATATTAAAATAAGAATACAAAAGGCAAGAGGGGCTTTCATAGCACTAGGGAATTTGTGGAGGTCAAAAGAAATTAAAAGAAATACTAAACTAAAAATTTTTAATTCTAATGTCAAATCAGTACTATTGTATGGGGCGGAAACATGGAGAACAACCAAGGCAATTACTAATAAATTACAGACATTCATTAACTGGTGCCTGCGCAGAATAGAGGGAATAAAATGGTATGATAGAATAACTAATGTAGAACTTTGGGAGAGAACTAAACAGGCTCCAGTGGATCAGGAGGTGAGGAAAAGACGCTGGCGTTGGATAGGGCATACGCTGAGAAAACAGGAGAACAGCATAACTAGAATGTCTTTGCATTGGAACCCACAGGGGCATAAGAATAAAGGAAGGCCAAAAAACACATGGAGAAGAGAGCTGGAGAACGAGGTTAGAAAGATTGGGAGGACATGGGGAGAGCTCCATGCAATGGCGAAGGATAGAACGACTTGGCGTGAGTTGGTTGAGGGCCTATGCTCCATTGGGGGCTAGAAAGGCAGAAGAAGAAGAAGTGACATACTTGTTGGAAAGACAGTGGGTCTATTCTTGTTTTCCCCACAATGGGGCCCCAGAATCCACCAGGGGACAATCTGCATATTATGTAACTTAATTTTAGAAATATCTTACCTGTCTATAACTAGTTCATACAAGGCAATATGGCCGACCTGCTTTATTTCAGGATCATCAGAATCATCATCATCATTTACATTATATAGGTCAAGTAGATCATCAATGTCAAGATCACCAGCTTTTTTATCCGGAAATTTCCAAGACTTGGCCGGAACTGGCCCCACCCTAGAAACAACATCAACGATGACCTGTTGTAAGTCTCTGACATCTGCTGCCAGACTATTCATACAGACCGTGTTACCAAGGAGATAGGACATTTTTGTTGGCAGCCCTTTTAGCTTGTTCTAACTTGTGATCATTTTGAATCCATTCAAACTCTGTGACATTGCTATTCCTAAAACAAAGGAACAAAACAAGCAGCTAAAGTAACTAAGTAGGACTGAGGTAGTGAGAGAGTTATCGCAAAAATATTCTGTTCAACTCTCAAAGCTGTTATCAGGATAAAATGTTTTCCTTGTGTTCTCAGAGTATGTATTTTTTTATTTTATGTATCATGTAACTATTTGTTTAGGATAATTAGGTTATTTATAATACTGTTTCGAATGTAGATCAGTCATAGATATGATGGTTTGGACATGTATGCACAATGGGAGAAAATCAGCCACCATGGGAGGCTAAGAATCAGGGAACCAGACCTCCAGGGGGCCCAGAGTGCACTGGGAAGAAAACATCCGACAGTCCCTGACTGACAGAGAGAGGACTGGAATGGAACAACATCCGACAGTCGCTAACTGAGAGAGGACTGGAATGGAACAAAGCCAGAAAGAAAACTGCTGACAGAGAAGTCTGGTTATCTCTGGCAAACCTCTACAACCCAAGGTAGAAGAGGATCGACTAAGTAAACAGTTGAAAAAACCGTGGATCCGAAGGTCGTGGGTTCGCTCCCTGGCGGAGCCAGACATTTTTTTTTTTATGATCTTGGCTCCCAGGTCAACCTAGCTGTGAGTGGGTACTGGGTGCAGTCCTGGGATGAAGAGGGGGCCAGCTTGATGCTGACCACATCACTCATCTTGTGCAGATTGGTCTATAAAATATAGGTCTAGCCCTATATGCCTAAAGGCGTGGAAAAGGGTCCTTTATTTACTTTATCTTCAAGAGAAATTCCTTCAATAAATTGCACAGGCGCTCTTTACCATTCCATACATGGATTTTAGATCTGGTATTAATTGCTCAATGTTGCCATGCAGGTCTCTGGTGCTGTCAGTGTGCAGATATGGTGATGGAGATATATTTAGCCAGAAATAGAGAGAGAGAGAGAGAGAGAGAGAGAGAGAGAGAGAGAGAGAGAGAGAGAGAGAGAGAGAGAGAGAGATGGTCAAAGAAATGTTATGAGATAGAACTATAAAGAGTGAGATAGAGAGAAAAGGAGATTGTAAAAGAAGTTTTGAGACAGTAAAAGAGATATTAAAAGAGAAGTATTTTAAGTTATGCAGTGAGAGAGGTAGGTACTGATAGTGAATATATTTTTGTGGCGGGAAAAGGGGGGGGGGGGAGTGTTTTAATAACCTTGCTTAGATATGGTTGTGATTCTTAAGAGTCTAACTCTTGGTGAAATTGTTTACTGATTTCAAGAGCTAAGAAAAATGCACTCGTGAAATTAGATTCATGTTAAAGGCTATTCTTGAATTAGTATAACAATACAGGAAAGAGAGGTTATCAGAAATGATGAAATCCGAAGGAAAATGGCAGCTCTGGATTTCATTTCTTCTTCTTCTTTGCGTTCACCAGCTGTACACTCTGGCGTAAAGTTCTGGTTGTTCGTCCACTTCTGGACTGCAGTCCTGCTCCAGAACCTGAGTGTTGCGTGTGCATCAGTTTTACAGTTCTGATTCAACTGAATGCAGACTGCTGGTTCTTTGCCTCTCAGGCGAAGTAGAGGATGACCATGCAATACAAATAATGGACAGCGGGCATAACAAGAGCCCCTTATCCTTATATTATACTAATAGTAATAATAATAATCCTCATTCACCGAGCACATAATCGGTATTTTTCGTAGTTATACTTCACATCGATAACATAAGGTACACGAGAATTAAGATGAGAGAGAGAGAAAGAAAGAAAGAAAGAAAGAGAGAGAGAGAGAGAGAGAGAGAGAGAGAGAGAGAGAGAGAGAGAGGAGAGAGAGATATTCCCTAGATTTAGATACACTGTATATCAATACCCAGAAATCACAGCAAAGCAGATTGCTGCCACCATGGCATTCCAGCTAGAATGATTATTTAAAATATATCGACTTCGCCATTAGATATTACGAGTAGTGAACTATATACTTCAAAAACCAGTGATGACAAACAACATTCATTACGACAGGTAAATTAAATATACAGATAACCTGGAAAACTAACACTCGTTAACAGGATCACACATGAACTTTCATCGCCGGTTTACCGTCACTACAGACGCTGTTTTCGACGCCATGTCTTTTATATATAGTGAGGCTAAATTAATTTGTTTATTTCTATCAATAATAATATATCTCTGATTAATTGAAAAAAAATCATTTAACAATAATGAAAACGCTTATATTTAATATAAGACTTAAAATAATTAAATTAAGTTTTAAAAGGTTCTGATAAGATAAAAAGGGTAGTTTTGAAAAGTGACTGGTCAAACCGGCATAGCTGCAAGACGGCTTCTTGCCGGTAAAGGTTGGGCAAAGCCTAATTTTATTTGTCTGTAATAAATACTAATAAATAATGTGGGCGCTGAAATGGCTTAGGCCTCGTTTAAGTGTGCAGTTATTATTATTGGTCAACAAGAGCAACAAATGGGATAGTCCTTTAAGAAACGAGTGAAAGTCTGAAGGTTAGACGCTCAAATGGAGACATCCTCGTTTTGGGTTCCAGGTCTAAATTTTGGTGAAAAAAATAATATACCCACTGCTCCCGAACAAGCATGTCGTAGGTGGCGACAGATAGAGCTGTTTCCACCAAAGTCGGAGTGGATCTGTCTCAGGGACAAGGAGCTATCAGTTTGTTTACAGATAAGCCCGATCTGTAAAAGAGATGTGCACTTTCTGCCGGTGAAAGCTAAGAAGAAAACGTTTCCATGAGAAGCTAGTTATAATGTCTCCTCTGTTGGCCACTAAGATGGCATAGGAACGCTTCACCCATCTTGACTCCCGGATAATGTAAGCGTGTTAGCATCTGTTGCACCTTGAGGACTGCCTCCCCCCCCCCCCCCCCTTTTTTTTTTTAAGTTGTATAGGTTACTTACCCTGCGATTGCATTTTTTTATATATTTTTTTTTATAAATGACCACAGGGGTCAGTGGCAGTAACAGCTGTAACTACAGTGTGATCCTGCGCTTGAAGTCGAGAAGGATGAAACCATGACCAACAACTGTAAGTCTCAGTCTCCCCACCTATTTCCAAGATTCATAGTTATAAGTTACCCTGGTAGTGAGATAAACATGTATTCCACCATGTCCAAGGAATCTCACAGGTTAATGGAGGCAAGAAGATTTCTCAGTCGAATCCAACAGTGCCAGAAGAAGAAAGTCAGACAATAAAAAAAAACTATTGGTGCAACTTTTTTAAAGTTTAGACCTTCTCTGTGCCCCCGGTCCCATTTTTTACTTTTCCCGAAACGTACACAATACAGACTCACACAGAGTATTAGTGGTGATTTTTTCAAAAATATCCTGTTCAGCCCTCCGGGTTATAATTAGGATAACTATATTGTTTCTTGAGTTCTCAGAGTATATATTAAAGATCGTCTTTGTCTTGTCTCTACTCCTGGAAAGCCTCGCGGCTTCAGGGCAGAAAGAACGGCCTTTCTGCTCACTTTGTATAAAGCACATCTCAGTGTCTCTGATATTTTTGTGGTCCATATTCTACGTGGTCGACCTCTAGCTCTCTTATCACTGGATCTGTATGATCTGCTCTCTGTGGTGCCTTGTCTAAAGCCAATCTTGTTTCATGGCCAAACCATTTGATTTGTTGTCTACCTATAAGGTTCAGCATTGGTTCTGTGCTGACTTTACTCCTGATATCATCGTTTCTAAGTAGATCTTTCCTCATTACACCTAGCATAGTACATAAACATTTCACTTCTGTCATGACTATTTTCTTGTTCACAATGTAGGCAGGGGGATCTTTGAGCCTGAAGATTGAGGGCTCCATGGCTGGTGCTGTCACCTTGGACTATGCAAATTAGGATTTAATTTTTGCACCAACAGAAAAAAAAAATTCCCAAGCCTTACCAGGAATTCGAACCCATGTCTCTCACAAGAGAGCTCTGCATTCTTAAACGTTTGTATGGGAACACCCTGAGTGCTGTGATGTCAGTTCTTAGTTCAACCCTCAACCGTTTGGGAACATTCTAAAAGCTGTGATGACCGTTCTTAGTTCAACCCTCAACCGTTTGGGAACATCCTGAGTGCTGTGATGTCAGTTCTTAGTTCAAACCTCAACCGTTTGGGAACGTTCTAAGTGCTGTGATGTCCGTTCTTAGTTCAACCCTCAACCGTTTGGGAACATCCTGAGTGCTGAGATGTCAGTTCTTAGTTCAACCCTCAACCGAACATCCTGAGTGCTGTGATGTTCGTTCTTAGTTCAACCCTCAACCGTTTGGGAACATCCTGAGTGCTGAGATGTCAGTTCTTAGTTCAACCCTCAACCGTTTGGGAACATTCTGAGTGCTGTGATGTCAGTTCTTAGTTCAACCCTCAACCCTTTGGGAACATCCTGAGTGCTGTGATGTCAGTTCTTAGTTCAATCCGTTTGGTGATGTCCGTTCTTAGTTCTCAAGTTTGGGCTAAGTGCTGTGGTGTCCGTTCTTAGTTCAACCCTCAACCGTTTGGGAACATCCTGAGTGCTGTGATGTTAATTCTTAGTTCAACCCTCAACCGTTTGGGAACATCCCGAGTGCCGTGATGTTAATTTTTAGTTCAACCCTCAACCGTTTGGGAACATCCTGAGTCTTGATGTCAGTTCTTAGTTCAACCCTCAACCGTTTGGGAACATTCTGAGTGCTGTGATGTCTTAGTTTCTTAGTTCTTAAACCCTCAACCGTTTGGGAACATTCTGAGTGCTGTGAGTTCTTAGCTGTGAACATCCTGAGTGCTGTGATGTCCGTTCTTAGTTAAACCCTCAACCGTTTGGGAACATCCTAAGTGCTGTGATGTCCGTTCTTAGTTCAACCCTCAACCGTTTGGGAACATCCTGAGTGCTGTGATGTCCGTTCTTAGTTCAACCCTCAACCGTTTGGGAACATCCTGAGTGCTGTGATGTCAGTTCTTAGTTCAACCCTCA